TATTATTTGTTGAAACTGTACTTTCGATTTGATTTGAAACTGTCTCATTGCTATATGTTTATCAATAAAACTTTGAAAAGAAAAAAAAATTAAAAAAAGATGACAATAAAAAAAATAAATAAAGGAGAAGCAGCTGAAAAAATAAAAGGGGCTGGATTATAGCTCAGTGGTAGAGGGTCTGGCATGCATGAGGCCTTGGTTTGAACTCCCAGTATGGCCACATACATGTGTGCATTCATAGCTGAAAGAATTTGATCTGACATTTGCTGTTAAAGGACATCTTGGAGAAGAAATGAAAGTGATATCATATTAAATTTTTTATCTGCATAAAGGATGGAAGAATACTGGAAAATGTACAAGTGTGGGTTTGAGGATATTTCTGAGATTCACTCAGTGATTCAGATAGTATCTTTATAGAAGTCAAATAATAAAAGGTGTTTTGGCCTTTTTGTCCGCAAACAGGCAAATAAACTTCTTGAGTAAGGATTGTGACTTCACACAGTTGAAATTAGATATTAGTTTAGTGTTTGTCTTTAATTCTTCAGAATATACATTTCAGTCTGAATTGTTTTTATGTGACCTGCAAAAACACTGTATCTCTTTATGTGTACAGAAAATACTGAGACCTGTCAGTTTTCTTTATGAATTTCTTTGCCATTTATGAGTAATAATAAATTTTAACTAATGTTTTCATGATTAATAAAATTTCTAAGTATTTTGAGACTTCAAAAGATACTAGCTATCTGTTAACCTAATTTTCTGCATACTATAAGTCCCAGTATTTTTAACTATGTTTCTTAGTCTTAGAATATGGTTTTAGGTAAGTTTAAAAATTCAGTATTTGACATGATAAAAATAATACCAGTTTCACTGTACATCAATTTTTATTGTACTATTTCTTAATTTCCTTTTTTTAAGCGCTCTTGACTTTCTTTGTACTTCACATACTCCCTCACTCCCCTGGTTTTTGTTGCTTTTTTATCAATACCTTAATGGAATGCATTCAACATTGGATAGGCCATTCTAGGAAAACGTAACAGGAGCTATTTGAAGCTATAGAGTATGTTACAAATCTCATTTTCTATCCTAATGTTAGGTAATTTAAATATTTTGCACTAAGGTAAAGGCTTTTTATAAAATATTTTGCTGAAGAAAGGATATTAAAGAAGTATTATGAGTCTTTCTACGAGATTAAATAGATTATTCACATCAAATGAATGTTGAATTATGATTTTTCTTGCCAGATTACAAGTATAGATAAAGGAGAAGGTGAACTGGAAGAGAACTAAAAAAATAGAGCTATAGAATTTGAGAATAGGTATAACTACAAATTCTACATAAGGATTATTTAAGTTGCTGATGCTATGAAGTCCTTAGAATAATGGGCTACAGTCTATAAAAATTACTTAACAACTGAAACCAGAGTAAGAGTCTGTAGTGTTAGTCTGTTTATGAATGAATTTGCACTATATATTAAACAAACTAGATTGGAGATTAGTTTCAATATTTTGGTTAAAAATGATACAATGTTTATAGTTTCTCTTCTGCCACCCTCTCCTAGGTCCCTAGTGGCTTTATCGTTGATATTGTCCATGCTCCTCTTTAAACCTGCTCCAATCTATATCTTGGATGAAGTAGATGCAGCTTTGGATCTCTCTCATACCCAAAATATTGGACAAATGTTACGAACTCATTTCACACATTCGCAGGTAAGAACTATTTGAAAAAAAAATTCATAGACTTTGCAATAGAGTGTTTTTCTAAGCTATTCTTTATTTTATTTTTATTTTTATTTTATTTTATTATTTTGGTACTGTGAATTGAACTCAGGACTTTGCACTTGCCAGGCAAGTATTGTGCCGCCGCTGAGCTGTGTCTCCGGCCCTCTGAACTATTCTATACCAGGAGTTGGTATTAGTAAGATACATAGATTAGGCTGGAAGGCAGCTAAGTGGAGAAAGGGTAGCCTAAAAAGCCACAAGGTCCTGGGTTCAATCCCCAGGATGACAGGATTGAAGAGTACTGTAGTATTATTTATTTACTTAAGTAAGCTATGATAAGATGGTTATAGAAGGAAAATGGGTCTATTTTAATTAAAATTGTTGGCTGTCATGTAAGGGAGAATCCAATTTAGAATTGATTTAGTATAATTGTTGTTTTCTGGCTGGTGGCCATAGGGCTACACAATCAAAGCAATTTTTTTAGTGAAATATTTTCAATAATATCAAAAAGTCATGTGTAGCTAAGTGTTGCATTTCTACTGGCTGAAAGGTAGAAAAAGCCTCTTGAAGCTAAGAACAGTTGGTTTTAGTGTACTGTTACTGTTGAGCCATTTCCTGTCAAATGTGCTTACATGAAGTTTGTGTTGTACAGTTCTAAATCTGCAGTCATTATAGTTGGCATACAATACATTCTCACATTTCAGGTCTGTGGCAGATGACATTAAAGTGGTATCTTAATTAAATAAAGGCTTCTCGTAGGCTAGGGGTAGTGGTTGGCAATCTCATTTGGTATTATTAACATAAATTACTTTACTAAGGAAATTAAGAGTTAGTAGCAAAATTGTGAATGCCAGCTATACAGGATAGCAGTAAGCCTTCAACCACTAATGGTGAACTTGGGTGATAAAACACACTGCGTAAAATTAGGAGACTTTAAAGCAAATATGGAAAGCTAGCATCCATTTTGGTGTCTAATACTGTAACTGCTAACTGCTTGCTGTTCACATTTGCGTATGTGCATTTTCTTGGAGTTGGCTATTGAAAAAAATAAAAATAACATCTGAACAATTATAGCCACATAAAAAGTAGTGAATACTTCAAAAATGTTACAAAAATAAATTTATGCTTGTTTTCTTTTTCCCTTAAGTTCATTGTGGTATCCTTAAAAGAAGGTATGTTCAACAACGCAAATGTTCTTTTCAAAACCAAGTTTGTGGATGGAGTTTCTACAGTGTCCAGATTTACTCAGAGTCAGAACGGAAGGGTTCCAAAGGAAACAAATTCCAAGGCAAAAGGACCCAAATGAGCACATGCTAGAAGTTTAAAGTTCAAACTTATTCCTAAACGTTGACTTTTTTTTTTTTTAAACATAATCTTTCAAGAACTTGGAATGTTAAGTTTTTATATAATAATAATGTTACTCTGTTACCTAGCTACTTTCTCTGTTTGTATCATCCCTTGTAAATGAACACAGATTGTTCTCTATTAATTGGTGCACCTATGGTCCAGTTACTGTGGTTATAGTTCACTGTACATCATCAAATTGTTTTCCTCTACAAATCTTTTATATTATAGCGCTTAATAGACGTGTTGTACGCACAAGAAAAAATGCAAAGAAACAGATGAAATAGGATTAATAGCTGATAGTCAGCTTTTAATTAATTCCTAAAGCCAGATTAAGTATGTTCTGTTGCTTAAAAAATCACTTAACTAAGAACAAATTATAAAGCAAGTAGAAGGGAACACAGAGCTAATATACATGTATCGAAGTATTGCAAGTTAGTCCCTTGAAGACACAATGCCAGATTCCACTATGGGAGAAGATCTTGAGAAGATTTCAGTGTTTTAATATTGATGAGATATCATGTTTCCCAATGCATAATTGGTCTCTACAACCTTGATTTCTTTTGTCTTTTAAAGATTTGTGACTATTTTATAGCGATCTGGAAGAAGCATGCTTCATGGTGCTCTCTGGATTATTTGGTCTCAGTATTTTTAAAGTTTTTTAGATTATTATTTATAATCTAAATAATAATCTATCACTGATTGAGAATGTAGGGCTCAACAGACTATAAGTTTTTTCTTGAGTCTGGTAAGTGTATAGATTGATCTATTAACAAAATCTTGAAAGCATAATGATTTTAAGTGTACATTCTGTTCTCTCTTTCAGAGGAATGCAGTGTATCAAACACTGTAAGAATTCTGTTTATAGCTTTTGTTTTCTCTAGGTACATCATTAAAATAGTGTGTCTGTAGTCTGAATCCTGAAAGTTATTATATGACCTAATCTGACCTTGGTTGTGTTATTTTGGCCTCATATCCCTTCCTGATACTTGACTCTTAGTTCCTAAATGCATCCTTTGTCTCATACATGTCATACTTCTTGGTTCTGGAATTGACATTTCTTGGAGTTTGCTGCCATACCTATCTGTTATGTAATTCCTGAGTAATTGCTATTATGGGACAGGTTGAAATGGGTTTAATCTAGAATTAGTTCTGTCTACGTGTGAGGGAAAAGAGATACAACAGTAAATGCTGAGCTGCCGGAAGTCCAGTGTTTTTTGCTTCTTTCAGAAGCTAGCAGATTATTCACCAGAATAGTTGTATGTATGCACATAATTGTCAATAAAATATAACATGCAAGTTTGATCACAGACTAGTCAATACTGGCAGTTAATTTCAGTGCTTGTAACAGATGCAGCAGTTACAAAGCAATACTTGCTATTTTAGCCACGTTTTTAAAAATAATTTTGAGTGTGAGTATTTTGCCATATGTACTGATTTCCTTTTCTCTCCTGCAGGTTTTCTGCTTACATTTTTTTCTAACTTTTGTCATATATAATCTTGCTTTTTGATGAAAATTCTGAAACATATTAAATATTGGTGAATCATATTATCCTTGGGGAGGGGGATATGGTAAGGGAAATAGGGCATTTATTTCACATATCAGTAATAATGTGAATTAACTAACCCTGAGTGTTTTGTGGATTTATCAGATGGTGTTTCAATTTGTAAATATTTTCATATTTAATCCTTGTAATAACCCAGTGAGGTAAGTACTGTTATCAGCATTACACAGTTGCTCATTGAATTGAGCAGGGAGGGACCTTGCTCGTAGTGGAGCAGTGAGTGGAAGAGCCAAGACAGAACTCATGGCTGTTGTTCTCCAGAGCCAGTGAAAGTGCAGATTGACTATCCTTTACCCTAGTGCTTTCTGCTAGAGTGTTATAGAATTCAGTTTTTAGATTTGGGCATGTATACATAGATTTTACTAGTTTAGCATCCCTAATCCCCAAACCCAAATACTACTACATATGAAGCTTATGTGCATCCTGACATCCACTCAAAAACTTCAGATTTTGTATTTTCAGACTGAGAGTGTTCAACCTACACCAGCTCGAACATTTATATTTATCGTGCAAGGTAGATTTAATAAATGATTTAATTATATAAGCAATGTGTAAAGTATGTGAATATAGTTTTCATGAGCCTCATGTATTTGAAGAAAAGATTCCTTTTTTGCTGTCATTTGACATTTTAGGTAAAGCTAATAGAAAGTGCAAAGCAAAAACTTGGAATATTGTCTTCTGATTTGGTGGAGTAATAGATATAAGTTACGGATAAAATAATCAGAGATGACTGCGCTCTCTGACTACTGAAGAAAAAAGAAAGATTGTGATCAGGAGATGAAAGTTGGAGAAAAAGACAAACACGAGCTAGGTTTAATGTTTTGCACTATGGTCCTGATTACTAGCTTTAGGGGACCAGGGAGATGGTGCAGTAGAATAAAGTACTTCCCTGACAAGCGCAAGGGCCTGAGTTCAATCCCCGGTTCTGCAAAAAAAAAAAAAAAGTCCTTGTTACACTTGGTGTGGTTGTGCATGCCTGTAATCCTAGTCTTGGGAAGTTCGAGAGGATTGCATGAATTCTAGGCCGGCCTGGGCTGCATAAGTGATTTCAAAGCCATAGTGGGACTGTCTCAAAAAAAAAAAAAAAAAAAAAAAAAAAATTGTCCTTGTTATGTCAAGGAGTAAAATCATTTAATGTATAAGAACAACAAAAGTACAGGATAATTCAAAACTTGTAATTGAAGGAAATTCTTATTGTTTCTTGCTTTTTTTTAGTTATCTTAAATGTCATGACCCTAATTAATCAGAAAAATAAATAATTTTTTTCCATAATTTTATTGACAAACAGCAGTGAGAAAATTTCAAATCAAATTGGTAGGACGGTTTCGGTAATTAACACATTGCATACTGTCTTCCTACTGGTTATTTGCTGTACAAGATGCAGACATGATATCCTATTTACAAACACTGACAAATCCCTCTATTCATTAAGAGAATGTAACTATATTCTGTCATTTGAATATTCTAGGTGTGTTAACTCAGCAAAAATATTCTAAAAGTCCAGTAAGCCATAATAGTATTGGGTCTTCCACTTGACTGGCAGTGTCAGAAATTGTTGACCTAAGTCCCCTACAGCTCAAAATAACAACATGGCTTTACTTCTTATACTTCGTTTTTATACTTTTCTGCTGGATGGTTAAGACCAAGGTAAAGCAAGACCTATGCAACAAGAGTTGTACCTTTTGGATCTCAAGGTCAGTCAAAACCCCTCAGGATTTGTTCTGAGATCCTGTACCTCAGATTATAGATCCTTTGTCAGTGTCAGCCGTGTAGATGAGTCATGGCCATTGCTTGGCCAGTGTGCTTCCTGAGAAAGCCTGAGAAAATGTTTTCTCTGCATGTGACTCTCCTTAGGCACACTCTACATCATCGATCATTTTTCTCTTTGGCTCCATAATCCCCTTGATCAGCAAATTTGGGACACTACTGAGTTACATGACGTTACAGTACAAGTTCTCTTATGTCCTGAGTCTTAATTGACCTTGGAAGGCTACAGGCAAAATGTTGGCTTTCCTTGCAGCCCTCCTTTTTCTGTAATTTTGGTGTGCAAACTTAGGTTGCTAACCCTCCAGAAGAGAAGCTTATTGTTATTACCATACAACCTAGGCTGTTAAGCTTAACCTCACTATCTGTCTGAATATCAAACATCTTAGGCATAACATGGAACAGGTATTTTTCATCAAGTATTGATATGTTGAACTTTAAGTCCCTACAGAATATGATGAAAACATTTTAAAAAATCAAAATATATTTTAAAAATAGGCATAAAGAATTATGTAATTCTTACATTTACACATAAGTCCAGAAATCTAACCATATACAACCTTGTAGCAGGACAGTCCTGCAACATTCCTTTTCCTGTCTCCTGCCTTCATTCACCACCCCCTTCTTTCTGAACAGTCATTTACCCGAGAGACAGCACAGCAACAACTGGCATGTCATGACAAGCAGCCCGTAATCAGAAGACCAGAATGACAGGCACTACAAACATGAACCTACTATTACAAATTGCCATCTTCAGTGCAGTTGCTTAGTTCACATGTATCTGTATATATAGGTGGGGTGAGAATCATTCCAATTAACTGCAAGAGTCAGAAACCTTCTGAAGATTCTCAGGATCATTGCCTTACCCATCTTCTACATATAACAGTATGGCTTACCCCTGTCATGTGTCCTAGCTCTTCACCTTGCTCTCTTTTCATTGTCTAGTCAAGTTCTTGCTTTGCTTTTAGTTGTATTACACCTTTCTATTTGTATTTCTTCGTTTGAGTTCTTATAGTAGAGAAACTATACAATATTTATACATGTGTATCTGGTTTATTTCACTTATATCTTCAAGTGTCATCCACTTCAATATAAAGGCTTCAAGTTTATCATTCTTTATAGCTGAGTAATACTCCATTGTATAAAAATACCACATCTTTTTCATACATTCTTCAGGTGATGGGCATCTTGGTTGTTTCCAAGATTTGGCTATCACAAATTGTGCTGCTATAAACATAGGCACACATATATCACTATGATATGATGTTTTCAGAGCCTCCAGGAAAATTCCCAGTACAGGAATAGCTGGTTAAATGGGATTTCCAGTCTGAGTTTTCTAAAGAGTCTCCACACTGATTTCCATAACGGTTGCACCAGTCTACATTCCCACCGGCAGTGGAGAAGGGTTCCTTTTCCCCCACAGCCTCTCCAACATTTGTTGTTGGGTGATTTCGTTATTATAGAAATCCTTTCTGGGGTGAGATGATATCTCAGTGTTGTTTTAGTTTGCATTTCATGGATGGCTAGTGATGTGGAGCATTTTTTCATGTATTTATTCACTTCTTTAATTTCTTCCTCTGAGAAGTGTGTGTTCATCTCGGATGCCCATTTCTGCATTGGGTCTTTACATTTTGGGGCCCTAGTGTTTTTTAGTTCTTTATAAATTCTAGAGAGCAGACCTTTGAGTACTGATTTGTCATGATTTTTTCCCAATTTGTGGGTTGTCTTTTCACTTTGTTGGTAATTTCTTTTGACATGCAAAAACTTCTCCATAAGAGCAGGTCCCAGTTGTTAATTCTTTCAAGTGTTTCCTGTGCGATTTGATTTTTGTTCATGCAGGTCCTACAGGCGCAGGGTAGCCGCAAGCTAACCTACACACTCACCAGGCCTGGGCTAGGACTGGATCTGGGGGTTCCCAGAACGCAGCAGAAATTCTCACTTGGCAGGCGGTGTGGCAGTGGTACTCTGGAGTCTTGTAGGGGTCCCAAGAGATTGGAAGAGGGTCTCACCCATGCTGTGCCTGGTCTTGGACCGGCAGGTCCCATCGGCGCATTGTAGCAGGAAGCTTTCTCTCACACTCACCAGAGCCTGGGCTAGGACTGAATCTGTGGGTCCCCAGAACAGGGCAGAAATTCTCACTGAGCAGGCGGGGTGGGGTGATGCTGCGGAGTGGTTGGGGGGGTCCCAAGGGAGTGGAAGAGGGTCTTACCCACACTGCATGAATAATATTTTTTATGTGGTTGACGAAAACTCATTTCTAAATTTTTCAAACTTCAATTTGGCATTTGAAATTCTTCTAGTAAAGTTGAAGTAAACCTACTTTACCATTTTCATGCTTAAAACTAAAGTCCTAGGGGAAAAAAAAATACACACTATCAGAACTCTGAGAAATAAATAATAAAAGAACTATTTGAAAGGAAATGACATGAATAATGACCTATATAGCCTTCAAGTTTCCTGATTTTGTTTTATTGATGGTCTTCTGTGTGTAAGATCTTAAAGTATCTCAAATGAAAATAAAGAGGGAAAAAAGTGCCCAGCCTACTCCTCTGCCCACAAGTAGGAAGGAGGCCTGTAGTGGTTGATGCATTGTGTCAACTTGGCTGGATCTGCCTGGTAGAAGTGCACGCCACAGGGTGACTCAGCCCAAAAGGTGTATAAGGGCGATGAAAACAGATTTGGCATTCTACTTCTTCGGAAAAACTTCATTCTCTGCAGTCAGCTTGGACGTCATCTCCTGGCTCCCAGTGCAGACTCTTCAGCCTCCGGCTTAGATTCTTCAGCCTTCCACTACAGACTCTTAAGCCTTCTGTTGAAGACTCATCAACCTTCCATCGCAGAGCCATCGACCCACTAATGACAGACTTACCTAAAACACTGCAGTGAGCTTCAGACCTTTCGACTGAATCTTTCAGTCTCTGGTATGCAGAAACCCTCTGCACACTTCCTTATCCAACTCTGTGGCTGACCATTATTAAGCCCATCTTGTAATGTCATATATTTGTATATATTGTGTTATGTCTGTTCCTTTATCTGTTCCTCTAGTAAAACCCTGACTGATTCAACGACAAAGATTAGTTGGAGAACATAAAAGGTTTTAGAATTCTGTGAGTCCATCC